GGCCGGTTATCAACAATCCAAGGCAGATTATTCATTGTTCGTCCGAAACCATGATGGTAAATTCACTGCCCTCCTTGTCTATGTTGATGATATTATCTTGGCAGGAAATAACATACAAGCAATTGAAGATACCAAGTCTTTTCTTATGAAGCAATTCAAGTTGAAAGACCTTGGCCAATTAAAATATTTCTTGGGCATTGAAATTGCTCGCTCTAGCAAGGGGATCACCCTCTCACAGCGAAAATATGCCCTTGAAATACTTGAGGATGCAGGTCATCTTGGCGCAAAAACCAGCCACCTCTCCTATGGAGCAAAACTTATCACTCAGAAAGGACGAAGGACAATGGGTTACTGATCCTTCCTCTTATCGACGACTTGTTGGGAGACTAATCTACCTGACAATCACGCGCCCTGATTTGGTGTATGCTGTCCACATTCTTAGTCAATTTATGGAGAAGCCTCGAACTCCACACTTGGAGGCAGCCCAGCGAGTCTTACGATACGTTAAGCACACACCAGGGCAAGGTATTTTCCTTTCTGCAAGAAGTCCAATTCAATTGAATGCCTTTTGTGATGCGGATTGGGCCAGATGTCGAGACACACGACGTTCTACCACCGGATACTGTGTATTTCTTGGAGAATCCTTGATCTCCTGGAAAAGCAAGAAACAAAATACCGTGTCACGTTCTAGTGCAGAGGCGGAGTATCGTTCAATGGCGGCAACTTGTTGTGAAGTCACTTGGTTGAAATCTGTTCTACAAGACTTGGGTATCAAACATAAACGTCCAGTCAAGTTATATTGTGATAATCAAGCGGCACTTCACATCGCTTCGAATCCGGTCTTTCACGAAAGAACCAAACACATAGAAATTGACTGCCATCTTGTACGAGAAAGGGTTCAAAGTGGAATGATCGAGACATCTCACATCTCAACCATGAAACAACCAGCCGACATCTTCACAAAGCCACTGAGCTTATACCAGTTTACAACTTTGCTTTGCAAGTTAGGAATAATCAACATCCATTCCAAACTTGAGGGGGAGTGTTGAGAGAACTTGTCCCACTACTGCACGTGGGTACAATATTCCTTGTCAGCAGACTACCACATGGTTTCGACTCCTGTGCTCTGATGTGTTGCAGCATGGGCAGCAAGCACGCCACCTTTACCGTATTCTAAATTAATTAAGCTAACTTCCAGTTGAAGCTAATAGAGAATTATGTGAAATTTATTCAGATTTCAAGGAAGATATGTTTGGATCATAAGTATCTAATTGAGTTAATATCATTTCTTGTTGCGTTCGATGGAGTCCACATTTTGGCCAAAATGATTGACAGCATGTGAAACCAATGTGATTGTGAACTTTGTTTAATCAATTTTGAAGTTGATGATTAACGATTATTGTCAAGATTTTCAAAGAAACAGAACAACGACTCAATATTAATTACATCAACAGTGTTTTAGCTTGCATTTAATTACTTGGTATTGTTTGGTATGCAGACGGGAAGGGATGGAACGGAATGGGACAGGACGGGACGAAATGGAACGGAGAGGAAGCAAATATGCCCTCGGATGGAAATAAGGAGGAAGAAGAAGGAGACAGAGAGGTTATAATTTTGTGTTCCACATATGTGGAATGAGTCGTTCCAGGGGATGAGGTGGAACGAAAATTCATCCAAAACTTGTCTTGTGGAACAACGTGTTTCATCCGTTTTAGGTGCATCAAATGTGGGACGGAACATCTCGTCTCACTCCGTTTCATCTCGTTCCACGTACCAAAAGGTAGCTAATAGAACAACAGGGGTGTGGCCGTGAGAGAGCTAATGTATCGATTGTTTTTAATTTTGTCATATTTCCGAATTGTTACAACAATGTTCAACGATGATATCATGATAAAGCGAGCAATGGTACAATTGAGTTCTTAAAGAATCACTAATTTAGCTAGGTTGTTCAAGGAATCTTAATTTTGCGGCCCCCTCCATTGTTTTTGCCTCCTTATAATTGTCCCATCACATCTTTATCAGTAAATTGGCATCTAGTTTCTGCTAATTTACGATGTAAAAGGCAACTGTAAATCAATAAGGTTCTTCGCTATGCATGATCGAGAAAGAAATGTTTATCGTCCGTATGAAGTCTTATCTTTTACTTTGCAAAGAAATTGTTTTTACGACATGAACTCGTGATATTTTGGTCACAAAAAAATAACATTTTCATTGCGATATAAACCCTAAAATTAAGTTTAATGGACTGCTTCCAAATTCCAATAAAATATAAAAAGTAAAACTAATAAAAATAATTTGAAAAGTTTAAGTTTTAACGATAAAGACAAATAAAGGGTAAAATGAATAGTACCATAATTAATTTTTTAGTGTAAAAATGTGGTTTTTCATTAAAGTGAACAGTACCGCGAGTTTTTCGTTAAAATTTCTAATATAAAACCGTCTACATGCATTATATAAACGTAATTAAAATCTTAATCACATAGGATAATCCAGATGCAAAAAAACTTTACTGGAAATCGGGTGGGCGATGTGTGCTTGAAGCAACTGCCACATGGCATGCATAATTAACAATTATGTAATCGTAGTTGAAATGTCATTTTCTCTCCCACTCAATGTCTCCAAATAATTAATTAGAAGATTTGAAGGTGGTCTTAATTAGTCAATTGTCGTTTGATTGCTTGTATATTGCATTGTCTTTTCTGATTACTACATACAACCATCACATGATAAGAAGAAAAATCCAACTTGTGTTACAACGTTTTTTATGTCTAAAACGACCTTACCTTCACAACGCTTTTTACAACTGGCAAAAACAACAAAAAAAATATTGAACTTGTGACATCTTGCAACATCAAGATGATAAGTATCATTAAACCAACAATAGTTAAGGACTCGCTTGAAAGTGTTTTTCAAATGATTGAAATCGATTTTGATCAAAGTATTGTTGGGTTTCAAAAGCATTTGAAATGCTTTTTGCTTCCTGCACTAGTTGTGTGTTTCTTGCAGGGAAAAAATGTTTTTTTCAAGATTCACTTGCATATTTACTAAGAATTGATTTCAACAACACTCTCATCAAAAACGCTTTTAGTCATTTTAAAAGCATTTCCAAACGAATTGCAATTCTTATGATTACATTCATTATAACGGATAATTGTGTTAATCATACGTCCATCCCCATCATATAATGTATGAAAAATGGGATTTGGATCCTCTTCCAGGCAATTGGTCAGGATCCTCCTGATCGGTGTCTGTGGGCAGTTGGATTTTTATCCAACAGTTACAATTATTATAATTTTTAGAGGACCCTTCTTTTTGTAATCGTTGGATAAAATTCAACGATCCACAGACACTGATCAGGAGGATCCCAACCAATTACCTGGAAGATGATCCAAATCCTGAAAAATGTAAGAAAACAAAACATGATGTGTGATTAGTACTGAGCTTTATTGGTGTCACTATGTAGGGCAGCACAGCCTCTGCCTCAACATTATGGGGCCATCACCTCGTTGATTGACACTCTTTTTCTTTTGGGTTTTCAAACCGGCCAGGCAGCCAGGCAAAGGCATATTGGAAATAAACGTAACTTTCTTTTGTCTATTAGCTCAACAAATTATCTAAAAAAATAAGGATATGTTTGATACTCTATTTAAATTCAATTTTTTAAATTCATAAATAATTTTAAAGTTTTAGACCTTAAAAATTTGTTTGGTAGGACTATTTTAAAAAACGGAACTTAAGATTAACTAAAAAATATAGTCTATTCTCTAAAAAAACAAAAAGTGAGCTTTTAAAATTTAAAAATTTAAACTCACTCATTTCTTTTCTCTCCCTCCTCCCCTCTCACTCAAAATCTATCTCTCTCTTTTCTTCTTTCTATGTCCCCCTTCTTTTGTTTTATTGTTTTTGTTTTTATTGTTTTTTTCGTCTCTCCTCCAATCCACTCTCATCATTATCTCGATTTTTTCTTTCAATCATCTTCCTCTCTATCTCCTCCGGTCCTCTCTCTTCTTTCTCTTTCCTCCAATCATGTCTTACTCTCTTTCCTCATCTCTCCTCTCTCTCAACTTTCTTTCCTCCGACCCCTTCTTTTTAGATTTCTTTGTCCAGTTTAAGTTGTAAGATTTAAAATTTTTTAATCGCATACCAAACAAATTTTTGAGTCATAAAGAAAATTGTTTTCAAGAAAAGTTCTTAAAAAATATTTTGAAAAATGATAAAAAAAATTTCAAATAGAATACCAAACAAATCCTAATATAATAATCCCAGTTTTATTTAAGATCATGAATAAAAAATCTTAAGGTAGAAACATTACAGAAACCCTGACGGTGGGGTCAACCATCATGTGGCAGGTCTGGGTCGGATTGCGGGAGTTTTCAACACTCGACATCACTCCCAACAATCCGTACCACCCTTCTTTCAACGCTATACGACCATAGTCCGTTGGAAGTGTCGGTCGTGACCGTGTTTAGTTGTGGAGGGCAAACTTACATGGTTACGAATACCAGTACTATAACATCTCTACTAATAATACACTGTCATATTTATGTTTAAGAGTGTTCCGGGGCCTTGCATTGTGAGTGGACTAAAGTGAAAGCACTGTGAGTGGACTAAAGTGAAATCAAGTGTGACCGTTGTATAAGTGAGAAGTATCGTACAAATAACGGGATCATACTTCTCTATGTCTTGGTGTTTCGGATTACAACATTTTGCAACAAGAAGCCCAATTACAAATACATGGACGAAAATGTGGAAACTACATAGACGATAAAACTTGTTTGATCTTTTCTAATACAAACGATAATTTACTTTTAAGCATTTAAACTAAAGTGAACGAGATTCGAACTCAAGTGCATAGAGAGGAGCATGTCTGCTTCGACCAATATAACCAGCTGCATGTTTCGACATTAGTTTTTAAAACACGTATCAAATTCATCGCCTCAACCCGACCCAATGCCCTCTTAGTTCGTATCTTTCATTTTTTTTAAAGAAAAGCCCTGTTTCTGTGCTCTTGTCCGTTTTGGACTTCTAGGAAAGAAAAGGAACAGCCCATAGACTACTAAGCCCAATAAAAGTAGAAGCTTAAAATTCCAGAAGCAGAATTATAATGCAGCAACTTTGAAGCCTTGTGGTCATGCAAATCGTCATCACCACCAGAATCAAGCTGGCACGAGTCATCGTCATCACGCAGACCTGCAACCTTACCTTCCCCCCCCCGGGCCAATCTTCCATGCAGCTCTTAGAAACTCATAACCTATGACAGACGGCCTTATAAATCTAAGGAACCTACCTTATTTCGTTAGGGTCATTGACTAAAGCTCTCACTCTCCATCTTAAATTCGGTTTAAATCTCTCAGCTCCAGTGATCATCAAGGCCCTTCAAAGCTTAGTAAAGCGGAAGACTAACGACGTCACATAACTTAACGGTGAGCTCTCTTCTATCCCTCTCTCTCTCTATCTCCTTTTGGAATACTAACATATGTTTATCTTCTCGACTGAAGGTACAACGGTGATACGAAAAGTCATGGCGAGGAGCAACGCAGTTTCATGGAGTCTAATGTTCTTGGCTATGGGGATTTTTAGTTACGTAGCAGTTGAAGCCACCAGAGAAGGGATTCAAGGGAGGGATCTGATAGACAAGAGACTTGGTTTGGACCATGGGATAAAGAATTGGCACAGTGAAGAGGCTGCTGCTTCTCAAGGACTGACAGCTGATGGTTACGGAGGTTATGGCTCAGGCTCTGGTGGCGGCGGAGGAGGCTCTGGTGGTGGCGGAGGCTTTGGTGGTGATAATGGCGGTGGCAAGGGATATGGTGGTAATGGTGGTGGGTTTCACAATGGTGGTGGATTTGGTAATGGTGGCGGATTTGGGAATGGTGGTGGGTTTCATAATGGCGGTGGAGGAGATGGTGGATTTGGGGCAGGCACAGGCCCAGGTTATGGTGGAGGGATGGGTGCGGGCGGTGGAGGATATGGTCATGATGAGAAGATGAACTAGGTCCATGAATCTTCCCTAATTTTACTAGAGTAAGATGAATAACTATTTTCCAATGTAGCATGCCTATGGGGACAAGAAGCAAGAAAAACCAAATAAAATGTCTTGCTTCTGTTCTGTAGCTCTTTACTTTGCCGTCTTTGAAGCTGCAACTCTGTTAAGAAACAAATCAGTCTTTTCCCCTTGCACCCGTGGTATTACGGTTACAAGCAATAAAGTTAGAAGCCTGAAATATTTCTAGATCGATTGTAACACATCCCGTTCTGTAATGCAATGGGTCAATGAGAAATTGAAAAATTAGAAGCCTGATATAAAGAGGAAAGATTGCGGAAAAGAGTCACAACTGCGCGTTGCAACAAATATATGTCAACAATTTTAACTTGAATGACAAGGAAATGAAAGTGTCGAGTACATGCAGATAAATCACATCTATGCATGCATATATGCAGAACAGAATTTGTACTGGGAACTAAGAAATGACGCTGTTCGACATCATCACTTGCCCGACTCAGAGGGAGAGATTTCCCATAGATGGGGAGGGATAACAGAGTTGGTAGGTAGTTTTCTCAGACCGTTGGCAAACGAATCCTTGCGCATAAGGTGGAGTACTTAGAGGGAAAGAAATAAAACAGAACAATGCAAACATTGCAGACCAATCAAATGTATTTAGACGGTCACAAAGAGTAATGGTAGATAGACGAACACTAAAGTAATAATCTAATCATCAATCACGTCTTTAAGTTTACAAAATTTAGTCTAAGTGGCTAATGCATTAGGAGTGCAACTTGGGTGGGTTAGGCGGGTTGGAAGGTCAAAACCTCTTATTCCCTAAAAGCCTAAGTAATTATAAACGGTAATTTATTAAAAAAAAAAAATATTAGAAAGGGTGTTGATTTTTAGACTTGGCTCACTTGGGTGTAGTATGAGCATTAATTGGTATGAGTTACAATCTAGTTAGATTGGTTTTGGTTAGTCGAGTTGGGTTGGGTTGGGGATGAACGGGCAAATAATCAACTCAAGTCAACCCAATCAATGAATGGGTTGAAATTAGGTTGGGTTCGAGAAGGTTATAACTAAAAAAAACCAGCTTGTTTGGATTTAAAATCAAATTAGACATGAGCGGGTTCGAATTAGCCCAACCCAAGTTGCACCCTTAAGCATTACCCTCGACAAAATATAAGAAACAACAATGACTAGGCCCTCTGCTTCTAAATAACTTTACATGAAGACGCACTTAGATTTCAATTCACACACATTGCCATTTCATTTTTGTTTTTTTTTTTCAAATTTCCGATCTATAAATTCCATTTGTGTGTGTGTATAGTAATGGTGTTAGATATCTTGGTTTCTTATTTTTAAAAGGGAATCAGCTGGTGGCGAAGCAGCCCACTTTTCTAAGTGTCGTAAAAATTCACAGAGTCATTACAATCTTTATTGTAAGATTTACCACCGACATAAATTGAACCTAGGATGTACCGTATGAGCACGGGTCTGATTTTCAGCTTGTATTCCACATTTTTCCAGCTTGGTTAGTGTTAGATATCTTGCTTCGCATGTACCTACTTTTTTTCTGTTTTCAACAGCTTGTATTTCCACATTTCTCACATTTTTTCAGAGTTGAGACAAGTAAAAACAAGCAGAGATTTATGGATAGCTACACAAATTAATTATGGATGTGATATCTACACACCCATTTTTACTTCTCACACATTCTTTTAAGTTTCAACCATTGGATCGGGTGAATTGAAGAAGATCAAATAAAAGAAATTAATAAGAGGTGTGTGAGAAGTAAAAATAGGTGTGTAGATAACACACCCCATTAATTATATTAACAGAGAGATAACAGGAACTCTAATACCACTTGGCACACTCTCAAGTGTTGAGAGCCGTTGGATACCTGCACATGGCCACCGACTTTCGCCGACCGATCAATAGTGTCCGTCAGATTTCACCGCCGCAGCGTATTCATCATCCAACTCACTCTTCTCGATCCCCTCCCAATCATCCTCGTCACTGAAATCTCCCGATTTAACCTCAATTGGCGCCACGTGTGTCTTCTCCTTAGTTTCCTCGCAATCGACAACCCTAACCATCTCCGACTGTTCGGCAACGGCGTCGTTTCCTGCTGACTTCGCGCCAATTTCTTCCGCTTCTCTGTTTTCCGAGCATCCGCGATCGAACTCGCTCGCTTTCTCCATTTCCCCGCCATCCGACCGCTTCTCCGGCAATCCAACCGCCACTGACGACTTCTCCGGCAATACAACCGCCACCGACTCCTCCTCCGTCAATCTACGACCTTCTCGATGCTGCTGCAGCGGCTCCACAATCACCTCAGCCCGATGAACCGCTTCCTCTTCGAATTCCCCGCCATCCGACCACTTCTCCGGCAATCCTACAGCCACAGACGACTTCTCAGGCAATACAACCGCCACCAACTCTTCCTCCGTCAATCTACAACCTTCTCGATGCTGCTGCAGCGGCTCCACAATCACCTCAGCCCGATGAACCGCTTCCTCTTCAAATTCCCCGCCATCTGACCACTTCTCCGGCAATCCTACCGCCACTGACGATTTCTCCGGCAATACAACCGCCACCGACTGCTCCTCCGTCAATCCACGACCTTCTCGATGCTGCTGCAGCGGCTCCGCAATCTCCTGAGCCCGATGAACCGCTTCTCCTTCGAATTCCCCGTCATCCGACCATTTCTCCGGCAATCCTACCGCCGCTGACCACTTCTCCGGCATTACAACCGCCACCGACTCTTCCTCCAACATCTCCTCCGTCAATCCACGACCTTCTCGATGCTGCTGCAGCGGCTCCGCAATCTCCTCAGCCTGATGAACCGCTTCCCCTTCGAATCGAACGACTTCCTTCACTTCTCCTTCAAGCTCCACCCTCCTCTGACTCTGACCTCGAAAAGCCCCTTCCACTTTCAGCCTCCTCTCCTCGAAGCTCACCTCCTCCACGCCAACTCCTTCACCGCCGCCATTCCCACCCTCCCCGAGCTCCGCCTCCGATTCGCGGCCAGCAACCGCCAGGGCGACGAGCTTGGCGACGAGAAAAGAGAGGATCAGAGCCAGCGACGCCGTCAGAAACAGGTCCTGAACGAGGTCCATGGTGGTTAATTTACTAGAGTCCAAAATTCTGCGAACAGCGAATTGAAATCGAAGGATGAAAACAAAGGGAGATCAAACGCGATTGGGCGATGAGTTTCAAAGGTTAATTAAAAATAATAATCAAAGGTAAGCAAAGAGAAAGGGATATTTGCAGAGCAGAGCGAAGCATATTCTGATGTTTAATTAATGCTCTTTCTGCTGCCTTGCCCTTGCGTCACTTTTTCTGACGGACACACTTCCGTTTCCTATTGGACGTGCTCAAATGGTCCATGCATTTCCAGTCCCCTTGAAGCTACAAGACCTCCACCCTCAACCGAGATCGAATCTCCTGCATTTAAATTAAGTGTAGCGGTAGAAAATTTGATCCCTCCCCCAACCAACACACCATTACCTTTCAGACTAATAATATAATGCAATTTTACGCAATTGAAATTTCGTCACATTTCAAACTAATAATATAACGCAATTGAGATTTTCTTTGCATTAATAGTATGCTACTACGTAACTACTTCTACATTCGTATTTCATGTAAGCATGTTCTAAAAATTTCCGCCTAGATGTTAGGCGGCTAATCACAACCCGAATTATATTTCTATGCATTTGAAAATTAAGAAATGACGCTTAGACCTATTTAGATGCCTCCTAGTTGTTGGAATTTATTAGGTTTATTTAGGAAATTAATTAGATATTTGATTTGATTTTGTAGTAGGGTATTTTTGGCATTTACGCATTAGGGTTTCTTAGGTTTATTGCTCTATAAATAGAGCTTGTAATTTAGTTTGAGAATTATGTTAGTCACAATATAGCATCTTAGGGTTTTGTAGCCGTTCCGGCATTCTCATTTGTTTAATAATATTCTTATTATTTTGTTAGTCTTGTTCGTTGCGTATTCAACTCTAGTCTCACATAAGTCGCAACTCTCACATATATAGAAAAGTGATAACTTTTAGTTTTCATTTTATTTTTTCAATAAAATATAAGAGATTTGTTAATACTCGAATAAACGCTCATTATATTTATAGTTCATTTTATTTTGTAACTTATGTCTTTCAATACAATTATGTAATTTTTTTTTCTTTTGAGTACATGTATATTTTTTTAACTATAAATAAAAACTAATTTATACTGTGTATAATAAATTTACTTAAATTCATTTAAACCCTGTCTAACTACCTAAATATTAACTTCAAGTCAACCGTCCAACAAATGGCTATCGTCTTTTAGGAACTTGCAGAGAAGTGATGTATTATCGTGCAATCAGTCTAATCTAAAATTCTATGGTGGAGCTGGTTAAGCTTTCTTGGAGGTTAAGCTTGTCATTTTGTGATGCGTTTTCATTCTTATCCTGTCCCAGACAAATCGGTGACGGCGGTCAGCGATTGGTCGGTGTTTGTAGATTTAATAACAGTTGGTGGCGTCATGTGCATTGTTGCTATCGTTTTTTATTTTCTGCACATCTCGTGGAGAAATTTTATATTGTTTTTGTATCACAAAAATATACGACGTATTATTATATAAGTAGTAAGTTTTTTTATTTTTATGTTATTAATTTTTAACATAAAAATCTGATCGTTTATATAATAATAAGTGATATATCATCTATGTATAACGGATCCATAAAATAATCTTTTGACGTCGTGGCCAGGTCAGTCACTCACTCAAAGAATCAGGTTTTTTCGGTTCACTATTTCAACTTTATTTTTCGACTCAAGGAATCAGCCAATTGGGTCACACATTCTTGTGGTGGGCCTGTATTGGGCTTCAAACATGGGCCTCTTATTGAGTGAGCTAAGTTGGGCTAAAAGGAACGGGTTGTGTCCGGTCGAGATGTGAGGTGACGAGTTAGAATTGGGCTATCTGGAGACGAAGAGTTCAAATGTGAGTTTTATTGGGCGGGGGTGAGGTAATGGGTCAGGATTGGTTATTAGGTGAAAGAGTTTAAAGATGAAGATAAAAATTTTGTCAATACATACGACATTATTTACATGAAAGAATGGAAACTGGATTAAGACTTTACTTATAAGCGAAAAGAAATATCACTAGACAGTAGTATTAAGTAACAAATATGAGATAAAGTTAGGTGTAATCAGATGTATGATATTTCGTACTTAATTATCTTCTTACATGACACGTCATATGAAGAAAGAAAGATAGATACAAGCTAATATATATTTGTTTACACCTAAGATTTTGTCTAGCTCTATTGGATAAAAGCAGTTGGTTATTGGTGACACAACAAAAATGTGGGTTCTATTGGTTTATTTTGGGTGTTTAAGGAATGTTCTATTGGTTCTCATATTCAGAGGAGGATTTGCGGTAAACTTCAGAATAAGCCAATTATAATTAGTCACCAAACTAAAACAAATATTAAACCATTATTGCGTACATGTGACTCAAATACAAGACATTTTCATATCAGTAGACAATAGTGCTAATTGGAAAGATGAAACTTCGGTGTCAACAGAAATCCTCATATTTCTAGTCAATTTATTTGCTTAGCTTCCAAACCACAATTTGTTGTGAGCTCCAGCTGTACAAGCACACACCACTAGTGAGCATAGCACCACGTGTGGTATGAATGCATTTGCTAAGTCAATCCAAATGAAACATTTTGTAGACTATGGTGCCACCTAAGTATCTCAAATTAATGACATAATATCACGTAAAAAGTTAAAGCACATGACATTATATCGTTTTCTAGGACACCACAGTGGCATCTGAGAGCGTAGGTAAGTCCCCGGTGTGAACAGAGCCTCAAGGCTTGAGGGGAAGTTTCTAGGTAGCCCTTGGATATGTGGTTTCTTTACTGGCTCCAACAATACCTAATTGATGAGAGTGATCTAGATATGTCCTTTTCATCATCACAACTTCTTGGCCATTCTTAAAAGTAAAAACATTCCTCTTTCTCTAGCAGCATTAATAACCCTGCCCTAGAAGCATTCAGAGACCAAGAAGGAGGAGAAGGAGAAGAAGCCATGGGAGGAGGCAACGGCCAGAAGTCGAAGATGGCTCGCCAGAGGAACATGGAGAAGCAAAAAAATGCTGCCAAAGGTACCTGTCACCCCCCCTCCGATCTTTCAATTTGGTTTTCCTCAGAAACTAATTGTGTGCTTCTGAGCCAAGTAATTAAGTTGTAGTGATGAGTTTTCTATAACTCATTTTCTAAGCCACCAAACAGAAGTTAGCTTCGTGCCACCAAACAGAAGTTAGCTTCGTACTGAAGGAATGTATGTGTTACTAATTTGTGCATCTCTCGACACGCAGGCAGCCAGCTTGAATCAAACAAGAAATCAATGACAATTCAGGTAAACGAAGTTAATTGGCACCAAAATTTCATTGTACTTTGAACATCTGCATTGTTTCTGATGCAAGGTAGTGATTGATGATTGCAGTGCAAGGTGTGTATGCAAGTATTCATATGCACGACGAGCGAGGTGAAGTGCAGGGAGCATGCAGAAGCAAAACATCCCAAATCTGATGTTTACACATGTTTCCCTCATCTTCAAAAATGACAAGTTCCCGACCCGAAAAGAAGAAATTGTAGAAATGTGTTTGAAGTTCACTGCGGAGGTTCTGCATAAAGATTCTTCCTAGACTCTTGGATGTTAATTAGCTTAAATCTATTTGGGGAATATGTTATAAAAGTGCATGTTTGTTGGTTGATTGAAGATTGTTTTTGGAATTTCGATTGTTGTTTTAGGACGCATACATGGACCAACATATTGCAAAATCTCAAATATGCAAACCAAAGCAAACAGGTTTTGAGACCATCAAATACTGTTGCACTGCATTCTGATTAATTACTAGGTCATAACAAGTGAAAAATACAATTATGTGCTCGGAAAAGAAAGAATATCGGCATTAAAAATTTGAAAAGAATGGATGTAATGAACAACCTAAGTTAGATAAATATTTTTCTTTAGTGATCATTCACAGTCTACACAGAAAGACAAAAGGGATACAAGTTTTTTTACCAAAGGATTCTATTGGAGTCTGGAGTTACTGCGTCCGTATCCAGCTATTTTCTGCACTTCTCACTTGGGAGAAGTATGCATGAGCCTGAAACATGGAATACGTGAACTTATTATCTTTACAAGTATAACAATAGACCCTGAGCATGTGTAAAATGTGAAGGTCCCTGACGATAATTATGTTTTGTGCTTAATGGTTGAACATTATATGTAATTAAACTACTTAACATTATGCATCTGACCACTATATAGACATATGTTCAACTCACATGAAGGAAAAAGAAAGGAATGAAATGAAACAGCAGTTAATCTTAAATAATACCATTGCTTCTCTTGCTGTAAGCCTTTCCTGGTGATCATATCGAAGAAGCTTATCTAGAAAATCAATGGCCTGGGCATAGCGAAAAAAAGGATCAAATAATCACTAGTAAGGAAAAGAAGATGAAGAAGAAAAGAAACCCAAAAGAAAATTACCTCTGGAGAAACCAGATGCTGATTTTCCGCATTGATAAATATTGACCATGGCTTCCTGCTTTGCCTAAATTGGAAAAAAAAAAAAAAAAAAAAAAAAAAAAAAAAAAAAAAAAAAAAAGAGGAGGAAATTAGAATGATGTGTGAGTATGGCATGGACAACTGTTTTTTGTTCATTTGACTCCTTGAATTATTTGTTCAACTATTTACTCATTATTTATTTATCCACGAAGAGGAGGTGATAAAAATGGAAAGATGAGGATAAATTTTTACTCTATAGCTTTGCTGATACAGCTGCAACGTTTAAGCATCATCTGACAGAAAGACAGACAAAGCGATGCCTTTCCTTTTTGGGTTAAATATGAACCAGAGGCCCAAAACCATCTTTCAACCATAACGATTTGATCATGTAAGTGTATCTTCCGGTTCCAGGCTAAAGATGAGAAGTATACCTTCCAACAAGAACATCGAGCTGAGGGTCAAGCACAAGGTTATATTTATTCAAATATACATTCAATTCTTCTGTCCCAAGAACCTGAAGAAGAATTCATCAACATAAGATAACAAGTTATATGAATATAGACACTATAGCCAAAAAGACTTCACCACCATTTCAGACGGTTTGTGAAACCTCAGTGCTGCAACAGTATAACAGTAAATGTATGATCAACTTACAGAAAAAAGGTAAAACTCAACAATCTTGAGGTGACTTTTAAACTAGTTTTGGTGGATTGAAGTGCTAAATCATATAGGTATGGATTGCCAATAATAAGATCTTCAAGCCAAGTACGAAACCAAAAGTACCGTAGCAATTTTCACTAGCTGGTCCTGATTGTCATGACCATAGAAGAATTGTTCCTTGCGAAAGATCTGCAAGAAAGATAACACCTTGTTGAGAAAAATCCGTCATGACTAACAAAAATGTAGCAGCTACACAAATCCTGAATACACACAGTAACAACAGGGAAGCATAAACCCTCACCATTCCTGCAAACATACAGCCAAGGCTCCACAAGTCTAACGAATAGTCATAGTCTTGCAGATCCACGAGAAGTTCAGGCCCCTTATAGTGCCTGATAAACAGCATTCAAATTTATATACTTTCTGCAAAGCAAACAGAGAATTCGCATGTTGACAATGTAAGAAGCTGGCATTGAACTAACTACAAACCCTTTTGCCATCAGACACCATTGAATCTATTGATAATAAACTTAGTCTCACTGCAAGTTCTGTTTGATAACTGTTCGAGCAATAACTGCACAAAGCACCATCATCACAGTGCCTACAACTATTATTCAACTTAAGAAATTATGTCCAAGTTTGCTCGACTTAAGGAAGATTCTTGCCCGAGTTGTCCAAATTTTGGGTTGATCCAACCCAAGTCCTACTCCTAGAAGAAACAAAAGAATGAATAGATATATGCCATTCCAGAATCTAGAAGAAAACTAACAATTCAATGAATTGGTAATAAAGTTAGAGGATCGAAGAGATTCTACCTTGAAGCTACTCGGACATTGTACTCTTTTCCAGGATGGTAGAAATCAGCGAGACCCCAATCAATCAAGCGAAGTTTCCGGAGATCATGATCAATCATAACATTGTGAGGCTTGACATCTCGATGCATTATGCCCTGCGAATGGCAGTAATCCAATGCCTGCAATTAGGAGACCAGCTTTTGATTAGCCAAGCATGCAGCAGCTAAGCAGTACAAGTTGGAACCATGACATTCTTTCACACAATTAAAAGACAGATTGCTGTCAGTAAAAGTATATGTACCGAAGTGGTTAGAAAAATAAACGTTTAGCAAGAGGATAAGATAAGAAACCTTGAGAAGTTCATATATATAGTAGCGAACGTCATAATCCGTCAGTGTGGGATACAACACTTTGAAATCTGCACTGTTCACATACTCAAAGATCAAGCTAGGAGTTTTTGAGTGTTCATCCCTGACAATGTCAAGCAGCTTCACGATGTTTGTACCACCACAAAGATTCTGTAGTATCTTCATCTCCCTTTTTATCTGCATGAATACGAACAAATTACTGTATTTAAGTGAAACAGGAATACAGAAATGTGGATTTAAACAAGTTCAGCATATCATTGCCATGACTCACAGACTATACAAATTACCAATCCATCCTAGAACATGCCCACCATCGAAACAAATTGAAAGAAAGGGAAATAAGTAAAAGGTACAACAATGTATATGCTAGAGTAAGGGGACAAGTTAAAAAATCACAACCTTCTTTTTCATGACGGGTTTAAGGATCTTCATAACGCACTTTTCGTTTTTGGTGACATTTACACCTTCAAAGACCTCACTGTATTTTCCTCTTCCGATCTTCCTAACAACCTCATAGTCATCTTGTTCACTGAGCATAACAAAAAGAAGTAAACAATAAGAACAGGAGTTGGAAAAATGCACCTTCAAAATGTCATGCGGAGATACTAAAAAATAATATATAAAAAAGGCCGACTCAAGCCAACAAGGTTTCCCCTCTGCGATGGTCAAGGAGGGATGTGTTACCCTTCTTTACAAAGAAGCTGTTTCCACAACTCAAACATATGACCTTTCGGTCACAAGGAAACAATTTACGCCAAGGCCCGCCACGAGATACTCATAAATAAAATCTCTAAAATCACATATGCGAAAAGCACTGCTTTTGAAATAGCTAAAAGCGTTGTCAGCTAACCAAAAGCGCTTCTGCACTCGAACGTCCCAAGCGGGCCCTAGCGTGAGTAATTATACAACAATTTGCTAACAAATGCAAATCCAATACCCGGAACCTTCAACAAAGACACACATAACAATGCAGCAAGATAGAACAAACCACATTTTTTGTCGAATTGAGAAATTTATAATCTATGAACCCTAAGATTGCAAATTGACATAAGCAGGTGTAGTTAAACATTCAAAATAAAAAGAAGAAAAATAAATCAAAAGTTCAATTGCAACGGTGGTTGTGATTAGACTATTACCCCCATTGAAGAGTGACGGATTCGTAATCCCAGTAATCTCTGGGGCGCTGAACGTTGACGTCCGCGTATACGCGAGCCCTGGACATTGCTCTCTCTCTCTATCTCTTTATTTCATTTTTTATTATTATTATTTTGGTACGCTCGGAGATCGACAGACGGACTGGTTGATCAGGGTGGCAGATGCTTCCCGTAAAGATGTTACAGGTTTCCGGACCTTTTTTTTTTTTTTTTTTTAACGAGGAATAGTATTCATATCAAATTTTTATATTACATTTCTATACGGCATCTGATATAGACAACCAAATCGTTTGAAAAATATTTGTAAAATCTAAATGAAGGAGAAAGACTCCTCGTATATCATAATCATTATTTAATTAATTAGTTTTTCTTAATTATTAGTTTATTAAATAATGAATTAAATTTAAAAATCTTATTAATTTAAATGATGTGCTATTCACATCAAATTCTATCTAAAGTAGTATGAAAATGTGGTACAAAAACATGGTATGAATAACATTACTTTATTTTTTAACTTGGGTCGTATAATTTACTTATTGGCCCAATGACTGTGCAGTGACGTGAATTGTGGCCCACTTTAATACTTTCAACTTTCATACCTGGTAAATTGGACGGGTCAGGTAACCGTTAATTTTGTTGGATGGGTTTGGGTTTGAAGTTTTAAACCCATTAAAATAACAAGTTTAATACGATACGATTTGTTAACATGATAAATTTAACATATACAAAAAAAAAAACACATTATTGCTAGCCCATTGTGAGGGCAAGTCAACTTTAATTTTAACAAATGATATCATTTACAGTAAGGGAGTGAGGGTGGACTTGATCTCACACTGGGCTAGCAATAAGGTTATTCAAATTCACCTTCGAGAAGATTCAAACCTAGGACATCTCACTTATAACTATAAGTAAAGAGAAATATCACTAGATTGTAAATTCGTAATACTAAGTGACCGTCTTTAGATGATGTGGCGCGAGCACTATACTAAAAATTCCTCCTTATTTGGGCCAACATCACATATGGACTGAAATTCTGAACAGAGCCTCTAAGGATTGGTTGCTAAAGCCCAAATGAAGGCCTGGTTGGCAACAGCACGTGCCGGTTGGAGGATGAAGCGCAACGTTGCACGGAGGCGGCAAGAACGACCAAAACGCAGCGTTGTACCTAGTACTATATAACCAACAACGTTTCGCAAATGCGAGTCACAAGGATTAGGGTTTAATATCTCCATCGTATTCCCGCAGCTGCCGAGGCGACGCAGAAAGAAAACCCTAGCGTGATTCAAGATGGGACACTCGAACGTCTGGAACTCTCACCCCAAGAACTACGGCCCGGGTTCCCGCACTTGGTATGAATTTTAATCCCCAAATCTCACTTGTTTTTTCTTAAATTCTGCATTAATTTTGATCTGCGCATGATTATTTTACTGATATTCTTCCTGAGATTTGGATTATGTGTGAAAAGTTACTTTGTTGATATTATATGTGTGTTATGCGATTGTTTATGTGTAAAATATTATCTGTATTACCGGAGCTTTTGAGTTTGTATTAGCGTAATTAATCACGTTCAAGAATCTTAATCACGGGGCTGGATTTATGGTGTGTTGCAGATTTTTATACTTATGTGCTGCTAGTGGTTTTCTTATGTATTTTTTTGGGTGTGATATATGGAATTTTTTTTGTTAATTTGAACAGCCGAGTGTGTGGAAACCCTCATGGGTTGATCCGGAAGTACGCGCTGATGTGCTGCAGGCAGTGCTTCCGCAGCAACGCCAAGGAGATTGGCTTCATCAAGGTATGAATTCAATTTCTTTTGTCATTTTGTTTTGTTTCCGTTTTGATTGTATAATCTGCATTTGGTTCCCTGCCTCGATTGAAAAGGCCTTTAATACATTTTGAATCAGCTTGATTTTTCTGCTTTAGTGTTAGTTTTGCAATTTTTGTAGGTTTCGATACTTCTGTATCTTCATTTTATTAGCGGACTGAGAAAATATACCATATAGTTTTGTGGAGTTTACGTTATCCCTTTAGCAGCGGTTTCATTGCTTTGGGGATGTACTAGTCCATGAAATCAACCTACCTCCATCCTTTCACTTTGTCAGCTGTTTTTTTTTTCTTTTCTTTTTTTGTGTCTTGCTGATCATTGTTGGATGGAATAGTTTATTTTTGTCAAATTTCCTATTCCTTTTGTTGATCTTTTGAAATTCTTGTACTTTGAGTTTTGTTTATGCGGATGTGATTCGAGATCTTATTACGAACTGTTATAGATCAAATCGTTATCTTACAAATATCGATGATGACAAAATCTAAGGCTTGTTTCTCAAGAACATTCGCAGTGGCCGCCTAAGAGCTTTCGCCTTTCGCCAGGCTTGAGAGCTAATGCTGCCTTATCCTTCCTTGGATGTCTGAGATTTTTTTGATAATTAGAATTATCCACTCTTCTCTACAGCTATCTTGCTTGTTATAAATTTGTGTGCCCGTGTCCACTTCTTGAATTTGGATGGGTACTTATGCTGCGTTGTATCTTCGTTGCAGTACCGCTAAATGGAGAGACTGCCTGATTCAGATTGGCCATCAAGTTGTCTGAAGTATGGAGCTCGGGATCGGTTTCATTGTTGCTGTACCTTTTCATTTTCTTATCCAAGACCATAATGTAGTATAATCTTAAAAGTTTTGACAATTAGCTGTTGACTGAGCCGTTGTTGAAATTATTCGTAGAATCGAAATCTTGTTTTCCAGTGGGTATTTCTCTCTCTCTTTGGTTTTATCATTCCTTCGTGGTCTGAGATTTCATTTATCTTTCTAACTTGCTTCACAGGTTTTGATTAGATTTCATTTATCTTTCTAAGTTGGCTTGATTCCATACTCTGTTGTCATTTTCTTGGTGAAGAAGAATTTAAAACAAGATGAGTCATGTGCAAAGGTTACGCCCATAAGACGGTCAGTTCATGGTCATGCAACTCACTCTCTGTTTGTTTCTCAAGAAAATTCAAGGAATTTACTTAATATCTTTCAAAAGCTACGTTTTTCCGATCATTTTCCTCTCTTTTCTCGGCGACCAAACAAGAAATTAACCAATTAACGGGGAATTCTGTATTAATCAACCTATAACAAACTTAAAATAATTGTTTAAGGGTGTTTTTTATGGAGGCAGATTGTTTACCCTTCATAAAATGTTAACGTGGTTTAACCGTGATCGTCCAAATAAAAATGGATGGGAAGAGCACTGTACCATAACAGGAGGGCAGACAATTTACCTCCGTTTTTTACCGTGCAAATGGGGCTCTGCCAAATGCCGCAGACGTGCCCAAAAGCTCACATTCCACGGTAACCCTTGAACACCGAAGCCTTTAAATTCCCCCACCCGAGATTGCTTTCTTTCTCTGCCAGCAAAAACTCTTAAATGCTCTGCTCTGTTATTACTTATTAGAAAGAAAACGCAGTAAATGAAGCGTCAGTGACACCCACATTATCTCTTTTATCACTCACTCACCACCGCAGAACAAACAACAAAAAAAGCAGTGCAAAAAGAAAGACATGGGTTCTTCTTCTTCTTCTTAGCGCCGGAATTCCTGGTGGTGGACTTCGTTGTTGTCTTAAAATCTTTGGCGCGACGGCAGGCCTGGTAGTTGAGAGACCAAAAAAGAAGTAAAAAAGCACCATGAAGGCTTCTGGATTTTGGGTTTTGCCTTTTGTGCTCGGAACAGTTGTAGTGTTCTTTCTCAGTGTCTCCAGCTGCAGAAATGGCTCCTTATTTCCGGGTAAATTTTTAATCTTTTTTTGGGGGTTGAATTTGGTTATGGTTTTTTAATGGTGTTCTCAAATCTATAAATAGTAGTAAAAAATAGTGGCTTTTGGCTTTTGGCTTTTGAGTTTAGTTGGTTTACTCACTCATTTGAGGTTATAATCTTGTGTAATTTGTAGGGCCAGTGCTTTTCGGTACTAACCATTTTCTTATATAATTGCATGGGCAGAAATTCATGCATAATCCCCTTGAAAATTCATTACTTTCATGTGTTGAGCTACCAGGTTTTATATTTTCTGATTTGAATTATGTAAGTAGTGATAATTTTGTAATTAGTTAATTATGAATTGTTAATGGCTCAATAGCAAGGTTTAAAATATCGATCTAGGAGGAAATATTGATATGCAAATTTATGGAAATATCGATGAATGTATAGATCGATATCGGTTGCCTTTGACGAAAATTATGGGAATTCGTTATGGGATGGGTGTATCAACTTATTCAGATTTAGTCGGAATTAGAGAAAAAATTCTCAAAAAAAATTCTCAAAAGTTCGAAATTTGCAATGGGTTTCAGCGAAATTTTAACAATGAATTAGTAAATATCATCGATATTCATTGATTTTCCTATATCTCACCAATATAGGGGGAAGTTTGCATTTCACCCCTTCTCTTATCGATTGTTTATTTTTTGAATATTTAGACGGAAATATCAACAATTCCGTGGATATTTTAAACATTGCTTAATGGGAGTGAAAACCACCATATTTTTGCTCTTAAATAACACTAAAGTTACCAACTATTTATCCTAATTTTTGGTTACCAACTAATACTGAAACTACAATCTCCTTGGTGTTGTTACAGATAGTCTCTTCAACGTCCATGCTGGTGGGCCAAAAACGATTGTTACATACAGAAAGCTCAAGGTAGATCCACAAACCTTTTGAAAAAAGCATGTATCACCCTGGTCCTAAAGTCAGACCGAAGAAACTTACCTGCAACGAGAATATTATTATTTAATATATGCATAATAGCATCTCCGTTGCATGGAATTCCTCGTGTCAAACACTATTCACAAGCTAGCTCAAAGGACGTTATTGCCTGTTTAATCATCTTGCTAATACGAGTTCTTCATGATGTTGGGATTTGTCTTTTGTTTCTCAAACTGCAGGAGAATGGCTACGCTCCAAGGACACAGAAGAAGGGCAGTGCTGGCAATGTGCATCTGGATGATTACCGCCCTATTGATCCTTCTCCGAGTTCGAAAGCTTCCATCAAACACGGTCCGATCGAGCACGGTGCACCTATAATCCCGTACATTCCGAAGCCTTCGCCTCCTGCTCGTCCCAATCCCGGCGGTACTCCTTAGCCAGCTTTAGACCTGTTCCTTTCATTACTAGAATCTTGATGTTATCTGCAACTCGGAAGTTGTTTTTACAACCTTCCATGCATATTTTGTGTGTAACGCTCTTGCACATTTCAGACTACTTGTGTCGTTTTATCATCGTATGAATTTATTGTGTCTTATAACAGAAATAACTAGGGATGGTTCGGATTGGGATTCTAAACCGAAAAGCATAAACTGAATACTGAACCAATCCTTTTCAGGATGGGATTTTGAAAACCGAAACCAAACCAAAAATTCGGTATTTCGGTACGATTTGGGACCCTAATTCAAAATCTCTAATTCAGAGACCCTAATTCAAAATCCCTAATTTAGATACCCTAATTCAAAATCCGTAAGTTCAATCACTCTTCCCATACTTGATTTATTTAGTTTAGATTGTCGTTTGTATAAGAAAATAACTACTATATCAATAAGTATTAGTTGGACAAAACTAGGCCTTACTATTTTTGTTGAAATTTTACACATAGGAACATGCTTTAGACTTTAGAGCCTAACTTTTTTGGACGATTTCACATTCCTAAGCTTTAATTTGCAAATTGTTATAATACGAGTGGGGTTGGCTCCGGAAAGTTTGATAGTATGGTGGTTAAGAACTTAAGATCAGGTCTTGTTGGAAAAGGGTTGACATTGAGATAAACTAATATTATCATGTTGGTTAAAGATTAGTGTGGTCAAGTGATAGCTTTTGGTTAAACATCACAGGGTGACATAGTGGTTGAAGATGGATTTTAAGCCCGTATTCCAAACGGTACATTTTGAGTTCGATATTTAGCATTGGTGAATCATACGATGGTGGTCAAAGGGAGATTGAAATGCTTTTGTGAGTCTTTCTGACTCCCAAAATGGTGAATTGCCTTAACAAAACTACCAGCTGGTCTCCTTAAAAAAACAAAAACAAAACAAAACAAAAAAAGGTAAAGTGAGAGCTTTTGGTTACCAAATACATGTTAGTTGGCAGCAAAGACAAATTCATAGCAAAACGTGAGAATCTTAGCTATATCCGGCTGTATATCTCTTCATATTTATCGCTCTCTCCTTTTGTATATTTCATTTTATTTATCTTCCTGTCACATGCTATTGCTATCTTAGGTTAGATATCTATTATCATTATCTCTCTCATCATATGATAAGCGAAAATAGAATACATAAAGATGTCCGCCTACCTTTTCTCTCAAGCTTTTGAGGATCCATCTGTACTGTTTTCTTTTTCTTCTGTTGGGTCCTAACTCATTTCTACTTCCTACCTTTCACTTTTCCCTGATTCAATAAACAGAATGATTAGTCCTTGTAATGATAATTAGGGTCCTTAATTTACTAATGATAAGAATTGGGCCGAAAACTAAAACATCATTTGGGTGAGAAATTATGTGATTTCATATTGGCAGGCAAGTTGCAGAAAATATTGAGTATCATAATAATAAGAGTTAGGCAAAAGAAAACTGAGCCATTACCGTCCCTACTGTCAAGCTCTTTTTCTGGCTTTGGGTGTGGAAAGATTAAAGGATAGAAGCATCTTATTGATTAAAGCTAAGGGGACCATGAAAAATAGTACCACTTCTCCTAAGCTTTTGAGTACATAAATATATAGGAATTTTAGCTAAAATGGTTGCTGAAATTGGCATAACTCCTCATTTTAATCTCTGAGATTTGAAATCGATAAAAGTTGTCCCTGAGTTTGTCCACTATCAATCATTTTGTTTATTCTGTGAAAAATATTTATTAAATAAGGAGCAAAATGATAAAAATATTTTCAATTTAATACACAATGGGCTGATTTGACAAAAATTGAGAATATTTTTGTCATTTTTTCTTTTAAATGGTGATTTTTCACTAAAGAATCAAAATGACTGACGGTGAACAAACTCATGAATCATTCTTATCGATTTTAAATCTCAGTGACTAAGTACAAATTATGACATTCTCATAGACTATTTTAAGTTAAAAGGCCACATATATATATAGCTTTCAACGTGAGATATAGTTCATGTTTTGGATGGAAGGTTTACCTAACCTAATCACATTTAGTTACTTTTAATTAACATCAATTATATGATGTGATGTGGATTGAGTAGTATTTCCCAAGTCATTTTGCTTTCGAAAACCGTCATTTACCAACGAAATCGTACTGCGGTAGTCCGCCTATGGTAGGTTTCTGATGGTATGTATTTCCACTAGTTGCATAAATTGGTATGTACGGTAGCCGTATGTCCGAAAATTTGGTAGGTTTCCATAACTGAGAATTTTGTTCCATCTAAATGGTTTCTCTGTTTTTCCTTTTTGCAACTAAATTGTGGATCAAGATTAGTAGGTTTTGTGTACATTAGTTGCTAATCTTTTGTGACAGATTCGTTTGATCATTCTTCTGGCGAAAAAGAGAAGACGGTCGTACCATGTCATCATGCTGATAATGACTGAGGCGACTTTAATCCGTCATAAATTTGCAGCCCTTAATCCCTTTATATGCTTGATAGAAACTTAACAGAAGATTAATGTTTGGCTTTTAAGTGTGGGATATTCAGTCATTGTCCACACATTGATGAGCACCACCATATTTTGTCCTAAATCCTATTTTTTACGCTATGATGGAACAAAATTATCTAGCAGACCAAAATCCATGTGCATCCAGCCTAAGTAAAAGTCCAAAAAATGATCAATTGTAGCTTGTTTTAATCAGTTTGGCATTGTGCACGACGTTTTATCTTTCTTAACTTTATGTACGACGTTTTGTCTTTCTTAACTTTTTTTATGATGTTTTGTCTTTCTTAAAGACATATGCGTTAATATCTCACTTGTATTTAATTTTCTTCTTTTTCTTATTTAGTGACATAATTGATTGTTTTAAGTTGTCTTTACAACTTAAGAGTTTAAGAGCTTATTATGAAGTGCTTTTAAAATAACTAAAACCTCTTTAGAGAAAATATTTTTGAGTTCCACTAGTTATGTTCTTCTTGTAGAAAGGCACTTCAAGTGTTTTTTCCAAAATGCACTTGCATTTTTACTAAACATTGGTTCCAAAAATATTTTCATAAAAAATTCAAACCGTTTTAAAAGCAGTTTCAAACAAGCCGTAACGAATTAATCTCGGATTTATCAACTTATCATGTTTCTTCAGACGTCTTGGCTCATTGAATCTCTCGTCTTCTATAATGTATAACTTCGTGAACAAATTTGGTGTCTTAATCCGACAATTGGGAGCTAATGTATTCAAATGTGTGCCTAATATGTATGAATGGTGAATATTACATATAATCAGTCTACCCAAATTGCGTCTAAAAAACCATCATACGGTTAAATTACACGATGAATATTATATAAACAACAAAAATATACACTCGGGTGCATGCAAGTCTCTCTCATCTCCTAATAGAACTCGCGTGGAGAGAGGTGGGACCTTGAAAAGACAGGCATACAAAGCAAAGTGGAGGAAATATAGAGGCAAAAGGGGACACAGCATCCTACAAAGATGCTTTCTTCTTCTCTAAGATTGTCCCTCTTTACGTTGAGAAGTGGGTATGGCCTTAACTAATAGGGGTTTGATCTGGATTAGGCAATAAAACAGTGATCATGGGTGGTTCTTAAGCAACAAAACAAATGGAATGTAGGGCATCCGATTTAACTTTTGTTTCTTCATCGAATTTAGGCAGGTATTTATTTCTCTCCTCTCTAATCAAATGCATTGCTTCCCACAACTAGTATTCTATACCTACTTGTTCATCATTCTGCCTCTGCATTTATTTATTTTTTTTGTATTTTTAGTTTCTCTCGACACTTGATTGAATTTGCACGAGATACCCTATTAAATGTAAAAGACATAAGTTGAAAAATTCTGTGAGTTTGGAGGGAAACTTATCAACAATTGAATATCACAATGACAATTCTCATTTCAATCACACATTTTCATGTGTTTTTTAACTTTTTCACGCGACAGTACGTTGTTAGTTTAGAATAAAGTCATCAGAATCTCCCATATATAAGTTATTTCTTATCGTAAAATTGAGTGGTTCTCAACATTTGTTCTTTTTTAGAAAAATCCGAACACATACAGTGTTGAAGAAGGGATAGAAGGAGAAAAAGGAGAAAAGGGAAAGGGTGATAGAGCTAGTTCCTTGAACAAAGGAGATATAACAAGTTGAAAATAGCAGTTACTGCAATTTACAGCAGTGAAATGTGCAGTAACTTCCAAACTAGGTTTAAAACTGGAAGTGAAGTCCAAGTTTGAATAAGATGCAATTCTGAGACAAAAAGCAAGCTAAGTCTTGGCAGAGACCTCCCTCTTCCTTTAGAGAAATTTTTTAGTGTGTCCGAAACACGAGGCGGTATACCACATGTCATTATACAATTGAATAAAAGTTTATTTTTCAAGTGTCTCTCCAATTGTATAATAATATGTGGCGTATCGTTCCATATTTCAGACCCTTCCTTTACAAGTATTGCTTGGTAGGTTTTAATAATTTAATTAACAAAAACTAGCATAATTAAGTTTGTTGGTTAATTAAGTGACAACATGCAAATAATATACAAAAGTTGGCTGCAGCTGACTTGTTTGTTTTCAAAACTACAAGTCTTTAATTACGCTTAATTCCTTTGAGTCATTAACTTATGAAGTGCAACTGTGCAATCATAGGTTAGCTTTAAAAAATGTACAAAATATTATATCCTAAATAAGCTGTGGACTAAAACGATGTGTTTATTGGTGAATAGCGATTGATAATCACATCACTAAAAGTTTGTTTAGTGACAGATGAGTAATCCTAATTACTTTATTATATAAAAAGTAGGGATTTAAGTTGGGGGAAAAAGAATGTCTTCGGACTACGGTACAAGCATCCTTGTATCTACAACACTCATCATTCATTACGAAAAGATAGTTAATAGTTACGGGATGAGTGTTTTAGATAGAAAGCATGTGATAAGTGCTCTAAATAATCGATACAAATGCGCATACAATCGAGGAATAGTTAAGATTGTGCTAAGAAAGAGAGTTGGTTTGCTCCAATATCATTGCATTAAAAAGCCAAGATTTAGAACGACTTAAGATTAACATAAAGAAAAGAGAAAGATTAAGGAAAGTGGAGTTACAAAGCATGAAGGAATGTGATTGTCTTCTCACTTTTGTATGATTCAAAGT